CATTGACCACCATGGTGCAGAGGCTCAATGTAAGAACTGCCCTCTTATGGTCAGTGCACTCTCACAGGGGGGAGCTCTGCTCAGCCACAAGCCAGGCTGATGGCTGCCAGTACAGCGGTGATGGTGGGAGCCTCTCCTGCCTCCTCAACAGTGCTAAGGATGTCCGACTGCAGCTTAGGTCTGCTCCCCACTGGCAAGTGGACATTCCCCCGAGGGGTGTCGGGCTGCCAGAGGGAGGTCTGATTGCCAGCTTAGGCCCAATCCCCCCAGGGAGCAGGGCTAAGCCAGCAGGTGGTCATCCCCCGAGGGGTTCCAGACTGTGAGAGGGCACAGGCCGGGCTGAGGGACCCCCCACCCCGAGTTCACAAATTTTTGGGCACCGGGCCTCTAGTTTGAAATAAACACGGGAAATTTTGAGAGCATAGTGTGGAAGGTTCCTTACTAGTGAGTTTGTACTTTATTATTTAGGTAATGGAAAAATATTGAAGGTTCTTATGTAGGCACTCTAAAATATGGGATTTCATTAATCTGATATCAATGTAAAGGCTACTACAAAGGAACTACATACTAGAAGTGGGAAGACCATTTATAAAAGAGTATTGAAATAGGGTATAAACTTCAGGAGCCTGGAAAGAGAGGGGAAAGTATAAAATATTATAAAAAAAATAGTGTAAGTATTTGCTAACTTACTGATTTCATTCAAAAATAGTTACTGAGTATACACTATGAAAGGTTCCATGGATTCACAATACAGTAATTGTATCTGCTCTTAAGGAGCTCAGTATATGGAAGAAGTAGAAAAAACCATCTATTTTGACATCTTGTGCTATCAATGCAAAAGTTGCAATTGCAGTATCTACAAAGGGAGAAATATGAATTCAATCCAGGAAATGGTGAGAGGTAACAGGAAGGGGGAAAGACTATGTAAAGAGTGAAGAAAAGACAGATGGGCAAGGGAGAGAGACCTAAAAAATAGATTAGTCATAGAAAACAGTTGAGCAGTTTAGCCATAAAACAAAGAAAATATAGCCCTTGTTAAATTCTGCAAAAAGTAAAGAATGATTAAAAAAACAGCCATTGATTGGGTTACTAGTATGTCACTGGTACCTTGGAAAGAACTGTTTTCAGTGGAATGACAGAGCAAAAGTGCAAAGAGTTAATAGAAAATAAGACAACAAAGGCAGTGAGTATAAACTATCTACACTAATAAAAGAGAAACATGCAAATTACCCATCCCCCTGCCACACCAAGCCATGCCCACAAGCCAATCAGGAGCGAATATGCAAATTAACCCAACTAAGATGGCGGCTGCCATGGAGTTGGAGTGAGTAGGAGGCTTGGGTTGCCCCTGCCAATGGAGGAAGCCCAGCTTCCCG